TATAGAAATGCAAAATTCTTGTCTAGAATTAAAGTACGCATCAAAATTTAGGTCATGGTGGTCGAATTTATATCGAAAACGAAAAAAAATTAATATTTTTTGTTATACGTGACGACCACCACATATAAATTCGACCACCATGACCTAGATTTTGATGCGTACTTTAATTCTAGACAAGAATTTTGCATTTCTATAAAGCCAATTAAAAGATTAGTGCTAAGAAAAAAACTGGAAAAAACCGGCTACGATCACGGCTTTAGGATCACCTTAATTATTAGCAATTTTTATTAATTCTAACACCGACCCGACTATGAATACCGGCCTTAAAGAATTATATATGAAATAGAAATATAGAAAAAACTGAAGAATATAATAAAATTAAAAAATTTCGGTAAACTTTTTTTTAACAGAAATCGGTAACCCCTTTATTATTAACAATTTTTATTAATTTTATTATATTCTTCAGTCTTTTCTACCCCTATTTCATATATAATTCGTTAAGATTTGGTTGATCAGTTCTGGAGTTATAAAAATTTCTGTAAAGGCACAGACATACAATCACACATACCGACATTTTTTTTAATGCGATATTTCGACGTTTTAAAACACTCTGAACATATTGACATTAAAAACTCAAAAAACAATCTTTTCTTTGGTTTCTTCTACCCCTATTTTATATATAATTCTTTTAAATTTGGTTGATTAGAGCCAACTTGATACGCAATCAAAGGTTCATATACGAATTTACGAAAACAAAGCTTCCTCTATGAGGAAGCAAAATGAATAAATAATGCTTATTGCCAGAATAAAATGGGACAACGTTAGAACGCACGTTCAGAACTACACGAGAATTATAGCAGAACTCACAGAACTGCCGAAATACGGCCAGCTTCTCACCTTATTTTCGATAAATTCCTGATTTTCGAGCGGTATTAATTTATTTAAAAATTATACAACGTAGCTAGTGTTTGCTAAAGTTAATAAACATATATATACAACGTAGCTAGTGGCGGGAACTCTTTAGAAAATGCTTTAGTATGCTCAGAACTATACAAAAAATATTTTATATAAGCCAAAACTCCGAGATTTCGCACAGCGTCTCATCTTCTTCTGTCATGATTACTTTTCGGTTAATATTAATTTTTTTAAATATAACACAAAGATTCTAACGCTCGGAACTCTTTAGAAAATGTTTCAATATGCTCAAAACTACTCGAAAAATATTTTATATAAACCGGAACTCCGAGATTTCAACTGGCGTCTCAACCGGTATACTCGTCGCATTGTAATTTTTTTTTAGTATCTTATAATTAATTTTTTTGCTTTTATATGGCAGAACTCTTTATAGAACTGTTATAGAACTATAGATCTTGCAAAAGCTGATGAAATAAACTCTTTATAGAACTGTTATAGAACTATAGATCTTGCAAAATCTGATGAGATACAGTGGTGAAACTTGTGTAGGACAAAATGAGACGCTGCGTGAACATAGCGTCTCAGTTTGTACTGACGCATTTTTTGAAAGAAGCCAGAACTCTCAATAATTTGTGAGTTTCTGCAAAATGAGACGATTTAAGCTGCTTTAACTGTTATTCTATTCACTGGCGAAATAAATTTATTATTCTGATTTTTAATAATATAAGAGAAATAAGACCGTTTTATGTGTGACCGTTATACAATCAATCAATATTAAATAAGCCGTGTACGATCCGAGCTTGGATCTGAATAGCCTAATAATATTTTTTATGTATAATTACACGTATATTTTTTCCAATCTTAATAAATTGCGCGCTGACTAACTTGTCAAACTTACAACACAGCTCCTGTTGGAGTAGTAAATTCTTTACTATTATTTAAATCGATTTAATTAGAGGGGTGTGAGGGGATTTTATTAATCCAATAGGAGCTGTGTTGTAAGTCTGACAAGTTAATCGGCGCGTATTATAGTTGATTAAAGTTGGAAAAATATGTAAATATAGTATATAAAAAATATTATTAGGCTACTATAAAATCTAAGCTCAGATCGTAAATGGTTTATTTAATATTGATTAATAATATTTTTGATAAAAAAGCCGCCTAGAACCTAGAATGGAAATATTGGTTTAGTTCTAGTTCAGACTATGGCCACATATACTTCTTCTGAATAAGAAAATTTTAGCTTTTTGCGTTTCAGATACCTAGAACAGCTAGAATTATTTACACCGTCTGTCATTTATGGTGACCAGGATATAACAGAAAAGAAGAGCATTTTTGTTACTTAAAAAATAAAAATAAATTTTTAAAATAAGGTGAAGAGAGAACATGCAAAGTTTAACGTTATTCACTTTCTTCGTTTCCCTATAAAAAGTTCCTGAAAAATATATATTTTAAAGATCTTTTAAATCAGAATACCTCCTTTAATAATTCTTTGCATTCTTTTCCTGACAGAAGAGATTTTACCACTTCTCAATATAAATATAAATTTATCTTGTTATGGTTTTATTCGATTATTCCGGCGTTTTTATGTTTGTGATTTAATTCGATTATTGTTTACTTTGTTTATATTATTAGATGATTGTTTAATATTTTAGTCTAGACTAATGTTTAATGTTTTAGTATGTAAACTTGAACATTAATTATCATGTTTTTTTATATTTATCTTCTTCTATCGTAGTAATCCGTTCCGAAGAAGACTAAGTACAGTCGAAACGTTAAGCATGTGTATTGTTTATTTAAGAAATTGTTTTTATTTTAATTCAGTATCTCTCTGTTGTTGCTCG